CAAGTATTAATTGCACCAGCCGGCTCTCCTTCTCCCATAGTGGCCGAAGCAAACAAGTGCTGCCAGTGGGTAAAGGCAGGGGCAGTGGGAGTTGTGGGGCGTGGACCACGAATGAGGGTGCACCGCCCCTAAATGCCCCACTGTGGCTTTGGGCCTGGTACTCAGTGGTATCAGCCAGTAAATAGCAGCTGGTAGTCAAGAAGCAGCAAGTGGCAGAAGCAACTAGTAATTATAGCATCTACCTTTGTGTGTTCAGCAACTGTCGGGCTTTATTATATCTCTACTTTAAAACGAACTTGTACTTAAATTTGGTGGCTGGTTGGCTGACTAGTGGTGTCAGATGTGGAAAGAAAACAGAGGCTGTGTATGGCCTCTACTACTGTGTTTGCAGATCTTTGGACTAATTTGGAGGTACAGAAAATTTTCAACAGTGGCAGCATAACCAACTCAACTGTTTTCGGCTACCGGTGCACCTCACAAGAGAGATTCATGCATTTCCCATTGGTTGGGTGGGTGGGGACAAACTCCTGTTCCATAACCTAAAGGCCAGCAAATCCTGCTCGCTCTTGGCTGAGGTGAATTAAGGAATCCTTTGTATAATCCATAATGGAATGTTGCTGTTCTTTTTTTAAAAAATACCTCTATTTTGTGTTAAGTACTGTGTTAATTTTGCCTAAATTATTCTGTGCATTGTAACCCCAGCACTCCGACCATCTTTAAGCTATTGTTTGCTGCTATACCAGATATCATCTGATGCCTTCTGTATTTCAGTGGAACTCAGATGACTGAACTATGGCACGGTTGAACAATAAATACTTTCCTGTTACTTGCTGAGTAATTAATTAATGCTGCCTTCCACTTTTTCTTTCCATATCAGATAAGGGAAGCTGGGTTCAATTTGATTTATATTTATTTAAATATTTATGCCCCTCTTTTCTCCCCAGCAAGGACCCAAAATGGCTTACATCAGCATTCGCCACTCCATTTTATTCTCAGGATGAGTAAACAGCCCAAGGTCGCCCAGTGAACTTCCATGGCAGACTGGTGATTCAAAGCGAGATCTCCCAGATCCTAGTCTGATATGCTGACCACTAAACCCGCATTGGTTCTTAAACCCTTCCAGAATAACCAAAGGACAGCTGAGGGGGGGAGGTGTAACTGCACTCTAGAAACACTAAAATGGCGAGTTATTTACCTCAAAGAGGAAGATGAGACTACAGAAATGTAATTCAAACCTGCGTATGTTCTGTTTTTGTCCTGTGGAGGTGGAGAAATTTGTGCTTGATACAGAATTCAGCATCTCAGAAATCTTAGGATTCTTTTAAAAATGTTTCTAGCCCTCGAGGTTCTGAAAACAGCCATGGCTGATGGAGGACCAAGCAAGACTTTCAGAAGGCTTTCAGAGCCTGCAAAGTTTTTTGACATTTCCTAGGACTGGAAGAAGCAGAGAATATGTAAAATAGTTGATGATATATATTCAGATTTTTGCTCTTGATATTGAGTCTCCTTGATTTTAGTGGAATATGTTTTCAAGTCACTGGTTATGGGGCCTAATATTTATGGGTAGGCAGCCCTCTAGCCAGGAATTTTTTGGGAGCGCCGGGGTGCCAGGGGGCTCCAATTAATTTAATTAATTAAATTAAATTAAAGTAAATCAAATTAAAATGGGCAAATTAAGCAGGCACAGTGGAGGGAGAGGAAGGAGAGGACTAGCTCCTTACCCAGGCAGCGGCGGGCAATCGATTCTCCAAGCCTCGTTCCTTCTGCTCCTGCTGCTTCATAAGAACATAAGAACATAAGAGATGCCAATGTTGGATCAGGCCAAAGGCCCATCCAGTCCAACACTCTGTGTCACACAGTGGCCAGAAATACCAGTGCCATCAGGAGGTCCAGCAGTGGGGCCAGGACATTAGAAGCCCTCCCACTGTTGACCCCCCCCCAAGCACCAAGAAGACAGAGCATCACTTGCCCCAGAGCCCCTAGCTATACCTTGTGGCTAATAGCCACTGATGGACCTCTGCTCCATATGCTTATCTAATTCCCTCTTGAAGCCGTCCATGCTTGTAGCACCCACCACTTCCTGTGGCAGTGAATTCCATGTGTTAATCACTTTTTGGGTGAAGAAGTACTTCCTTTTATCCGTTCTAGCCCGACCGCTCTGCAGTTTCATGGAGTGCCCACGTGTTCTTGTATTGTGAGAAAGGGAGAAAAGTACCTCTTTCTTTACCTGCTCTTTCCCATGCATAATCTTATAAACCTCGATCATCTCACCCCTCAGTCGTCTTTTCTCCAAGCTAAAGAGCCCTAAGCTTCCTCCTGCAGAGTGCGTCTTACTCAGCCTATGTATCTTCTTCAGCCCTGCTCAGGTGCTGTGCACGTGGAGGGAGGGAGAGGCCCTGGGATGTCAGTTCCCAGCACCGACTCTGCCCCTTAATGAAGCCCTCAGCCAGGGCCTCCGCCTGTGCGGCTGCCTTCCCAGGAGATGTGTGTCCTTGCCTGCTCTGCATACACTCAGGGGCATGCTGGCAGTGTGCACATGCCAGGGTCCAGCCTTGCTGCTGCACCTCCACGCCCTGCACCAGCCCAGCCCTACTCCCTGGCGGGACCCGAAAGCTAGCCAGTCAGAAGAAGCCAACTCTTTTTGGAAGGATGGTTAGTTGTGTGTGCTTTGGTCTGGCGCAGTGGCGCTGCAGCTGAAGAAATACCACCAAAAACTAAAAATTAAAGAGGGAGATTGAGGTGGGGCACTGCAAATTCGATAGGGGGCGCCACCCCACATGCCCCACCACTGGCTATAGCCCTGTGGGTAGGGCTAACAGCTTAGGGTTGGGAACCACTCAGAGATTTGGAGGGTGGGGCCTGGGCAGGGCAGGGTTTGGGGAGGGATCTCAGCAGGGTATAAGGCCACGGAGCCCACCTTCCAAAGCAGCCATTTTCTCCAGGGGAACTGATCGTAGTCATCTGGAGAACAATTGTAATAGCGGGAGATCTCCAGATGCCACCTGGCCGTTGGCAACCCCATCTATGAGAGTAGCCCAGAGTCATTCAAAACACTGGTGGCAGAGCAGCGACAGAAAGCACCCCCCCTTCATTCTCCCTCAAAAGAAATCTTGCAAAGATTTTATTCCTCTGACCTTCGGCATCATTGTGAGGGGAAAAAACACACAAATAAGAAGCACTTATTTAAAATAACTTCTCATGCTCTTTTATTTTGCTGGGACTGTGTATATGATTTAGATCTGACATGAGAAAACGTAGAAAAATAATTCCAAGTGATGCCCTCCTTTGATAAGAAAATCCACAAAATACCCCTCAAGAGAATGTGCAATATTAACGAGACATATATGGCCACCTTTTTCACGAGCTACCCATACATGATGGATTTCAGATTTCCTAGGAATAGACTCCACATGGACTTTTTCAGATGAAGAACTTGTAGGCCCCTACTTTGGAATCCTTGCTTTTCACAAAGCATTCCGGGCTGTGTTCTAGTGGTGACAGCCATGCAATTGGGCCAGGTTCTCACCCCATCAGACTCCAAAATGCCTGAGAAAGAGGCTTTATGTGCTGTGTTCATTTCAGGGGAAGATCAGCTACCTTTTGAACACCTGGTCCACCATGATGGATCTTTTCATCAAGCGAACCCCTCAAAAGCTTCCCCCCAAGGAAACATTTACGTTCCACCTTTGGGTAAAATTATCTCCAAGGTGGTTTACAATATCTTAAAATATTACAAGATACACAGCTTGAGGTGAGTCATGACTCCTGTCTCATCTCTTGGGGGTAGCACTGCTAAGAGGGACACTGGAGGGGTGATACAAACCTCTAAGGTTGCCGGCTCTGTGTGGAGAACTACCTGGAGATTTGGGGGGGGGTGGAACCTGGGGAGGGCGGAGCTTGGGGAGAGGAGGGACCTCAGCAGGGTACAAGGCAACAGAGTCCACCCTCCAAAGGAGCCATTTTCTCCAGGGGAACTGATGTCTGTTGGCTGGAGATCAGTTGTAATAGCAGGAGATCTCAAAGCCCCGCTTGAAGGTCAGCAAACTGACTCCCCCCCAGCTCTCTGGTTTTCTGCCAGCGCTGCTGCTGTCCTTGTAAGCCCCACTGTGAACCCAGAGGAACTAAATTCTCCACGAAGCATGCTGTCCATTCTTAGACCTTTTAGACAATCATTTCGCAATACAGTCGCAGAATGTGACAATAAAGGAAATTGTTCGGAAGTATTTCTTCTGCAAAAAAAATATATATATTGTGCTTGAGGAAAAGTGAATTTTGGATCGCAGCAGTCTATAACTCAGACCCTTTCCCCGTCATGGCAACCTTTTTAAGAACAAACATTTCTTTTGAGAATGCTGTACAGTAAACAATAATACTTAGTATTTATATTGCACTTTTCCTATGTATTCAAAGTACCCCATAAAAACTTCGAAAGGTAAAGCAATATTACTATCTCCGTACATGAAATAAATTATGTAGAACGAATTGAGGTGTTGCTACTCTCTAATTTACAGTAAAACAAGAATGGAGAAATTGTGTCATGTTGGTGGTGAAAAGTGTCATCAAGCCACAGCCGATTTATGGTAACTCGGGGGGGGGGTGTTTCAAGGCAAGAGACGTTCAGAGGTGGTTTGCCGTTGCCTGCCTCTGTGTAGAGACCCTGGACTTCCTCAGAGGTCTCCCATCCAAATAATAACCAGGGCTGACCCCACTTAGCTTCCAAGAGCTGACGAGTTCAGGCTAGCCCGAAAAATCAGCTTCTCTATTATTTTTCCCCCATTCCCTCTAATCCTCTCTGGTTTTGCTGATATGCATTGTCAGCGTTCAGACTAAAAGTTAGAATGATCACAGACAGCAAAAAAGAAGTACAATGAAAAACAAGAGATTGTTGGTCACAAGTACGAGACAACAATTTAGCACCCACCCCATAGGAAATTCTGTGTGCAGGGTGGGTCAAAGGTTATGTTATTGGCAAGTGGGTCAAAAGCCAGACAGGGTCATGCCTAGGAGCACATTTTGAATTTTATCATTTTCTGGAAAGCCTGTTTGAATTCATCATTGAAAGCTGTGTATATAACAGGATTGATTAAAGAGTTCAGGTAGCCTAGCCAGGTGAAAAAGTCGAGCAGGATGGGGTGAAACCAGCAGGCATCCTGACAGATTGGCAGGACCAAAGTCATGACAAAGAATGGGAGCCAGCAGATGATGAATGCCCCTAAAATGATTCCCAGAGTTTTGGTGGCTTTCCTTTCTCTGGCGGCCGAAATCCGTTTTCTTTCTAAGACGCTGTCAGAGACTTTGATCTTCACGTGGTTGATAAACACAGGAGAGCCACTAGAATGGGAATGTCCTTCATGAAGGTTCGAGCTAAGGGAACAGAGAGACGATCCCGCCGATCCAGTGATGAGGTGGGCAGTGGTGAAGCGCTTCCCGTAGAGAGATGGCGGCCTGAGGATTCGGGATCGGGCGGCAACATAAATCCTACCATACAGTATAATGAGCAACATTGTTGGGATGTAGAAGGCGCCACAGGTAGAGTAGATTGTGTAGGAAATCTGATCAGTGTTCACGGTGCAAAAAGCTTTTTCTTCGTGGGCTTTCGCTTGCCTCCAGAAAAGCGGCGGCATGGAGATGCAAATGGAAATAACCCAAACAATGGCTATCATGAGGGCGGCCCTGCCCGCGGTCCGGCGTTTGGTGTACTCGAGAGCATCCGTGATGGCCCAGTACCTGTCCAAAGCGATCACGCAAAGGTGCAGAATGGAGGCGGTGCAGCAGGTGATGTCAGAGGACAACCAGATGTCACACATGATCTGGCCGAAGGTCCATATGCGGCTGATGGTGTAGGCGATGCTGATCGGCATTACAAGGATGGACACTAAGAGGTCCGTGGCAGCCAAGGATCCAATGAGATAATTGGCTGGGGTGTGGAGTTTCCTCGTAAGGATAATTGTGATGATGACAAACGTATTGGAAAGCATCGTCGCCAGAGTGATCACAGCCAAAATCACAGCCAGCGAGACTTTTAGGCCTAGCAATGTGCCCTCCTCCCATTCCTCTGGTATTACACTGGAATTCAGAGATGTGTTTGACAAACCCCAGACGGAAAACTCCGTGGACCAGTTGTACAGGGTCATCCTCCGCTGTGCTGATTTTTCCTTCCTTTTCTACTTAATCCTTTAAATACTTCTTGAGAGGGTATCTGAATCTTTACCAAAACGAGGCCTTCTGGAAAACAAGCTTGGGGAAGACAGCATTCTTACTGTTAAACAGAAGCCAAGAACAAAAGCATTAAGCGAGCATTAACCATGGTGTGCTTTATAAATGTACAGCTCTAAGAGATCATCTGTAGGTATGTATTCACAGACAACATGTACTAATGTGGGACAAGAAAGGACTACCACCTTTTAACTTCATTGCCTTACATCTAAAGAATATTGACTTATGGAGATCCCAGCAAGGGGTTTTCAAGGTCAGGGAGAAGCAGGGAGAAGCAGCGGTGGTTTGCCATTGTCTTTCTTGGTGGTTCCCCCATCCAAGTACTGTTCTGCTTAGCTTACAAGATATGATGAGATCAGGCTATACCATACCATTCCACATATCCCCAACATTTATTTTACTGAATACGAACCAGGGCCCACAGCTCAGCTTGCTCTGAATGCAGAAATTCCCACGTTCAGTCTACAGAAAGACTGGAAACAATCTTTTGTCAAAGAAACTTCTGAAATGGCCAATGCTTGAGTAGTCTTCCCATCTTAGGCTAACCTGTTGTCATCAATGTGTAGAATGGTTTTTAGAGCGGGGAATGCTTTCACAGCACATCCAATTACCATTTTCAGTTTGCAGTTAACCACAGCAGACTGTACTTCTGGGTTAACTTGTGCACAGACAGTTTCCTTTCTGTGTCACTTACCTACACCACACACAGCTACATAAGTCGCTGTTTTATTGCAAAGGAACTTCAGGAACAGACTGGAAAGGGAAAATGCTGAATTACAAGTTATTACAACACTCAGAACAAACCCACCCCAGGACTTATCAGGGATATTGGTGTCTTATCTCACTACATATGCTAAATTAATTCAGTCGTTACATCTGTATTCTCACCGAGAAGGGCTATACGTCCTCTTTATTTTAGTGTGTTTCTTATTTGGAATAGTAGATTAAAATAGTGATTGTAATGTAATGCAGTGAACATTTGAATGGTGTATTGGAATACATTTCTCTATTCTGGTAACACAGGAGACATAACACTGCACTACAAATTACCTCAAAGAAAAAGATGCTATTAGTTACCTTCATGCTTGAGAGGAGACAGATGGAGCATAACAACAAGGTCTCAGTTAATTACTCTGAGCACTCCACAATTAAGAAGGATACATTTACACATTTATCTCCAATTTTGACATTTATTCGCTTCACTGTTTTTCCTGGGAATTAAATCCAAACAATGATGATCTTATAAATTTAGCTTGTTATTCCTGTTTACATCTGTGAAAACATCTTCATTACGTTGTATGCTAATTTGCTGTTCAAACTCTGCCTTATATGTATGGACTGGTAAATTCCATTTTGTTGTATCTGAGGAAGTGTGCGTGCCCATGACAGTTCATACCTTTAATAAAACTTTGTTGGCCTTAAAGGTCCCACAGGATCAAACTTCTACTGCTTCAGACCAACATGGCTACCCACCTGGACATACCACGTTGGTGACTGAACTTTTCCTTCTTTGACACCTCACAATGGAACCCTTTTCTCCTCTCTAAAGCCTCAGCCTTTCCATATTCTGGTTTTTTGGAGGGGTTTTTTTGGTTTTCTGTTTTTGTTTTGCTTTTCCATATTCTGTTGTATGGTTTTTAACAAGAAGATGGCCACTCTAAATGGTAATGCTTTTTATTTTCTGGGCATATGTTTTATTATCAACAAACAAGAACTTCAGATATTAAGGGCTGTCCATGTTATGAATGTGTGCAGATCCTAATCCAAGAATGAGAAGGAAAAGTCCCAGCAAAATCACCAGCCTGCCCAACAGAAGTGATTTATCTGTTTAGTGACTTAACAAACTATCCCTCCTCCATCCCCAGGGATTCCAGGTTCCAGAGACCAAACAGTAGAGCTTTCCAAGAAAGGAGGACAGATACAAATTTCACTCTAGCTGAATATTTCTGTCCAGGCTGACAAAAGGCACAGCTCCCTAGCACAGAAGGGTGTTTGCACAGGGATTTCGTAATGATTCAAAAAACAGAAAGGCAAAAAAGGAATGTGGTTTTGCAAAAGCATTAAATCATTTTTAAAACATGCTATTTTCCATTGCTTGGTACCATAAAATTGTAAGCCCTTCAAGGATGGAGATAAATATTGTTCTTTCCAATATATAATTGTGGAAGCCAAATGTAACCTTCCCAAAGCCCTTGGAGCACAGTGGGAATAAATACACAGGGTGATATATTCACAGTAAAAAGCTCACACGAACACAGCTTCTCAGGCTTCGGAACACAAAACACTGTTATCTGTAGTATCTGCAGGATCTCTTCTACTCATTGTTGTGTGTTCACTTTGGAATGGTGTCTGAGCCACCACCTACCACTATTCATGGACAGACATCTTTGAAGACTCTCTGAATTCAGCTTCTGAAAATCGTTCATCATGATTGAGCTTAAGGTACACTATCTGCTTTGATGTCAAAGTCATGGACCTCCAAAGAGGATAAAAGCTTGGTCGTCTGCAACGGCTCATGGTGCTGAGCTGGATCTAAAGGAAGAAATGCAGTGTGTTAGCTCAGAAGCACCTCATTAGGTGAGCTGGACTCACTGGCACCAAGAGATCCTCTACCACCAAAGCAAGCATACAGTTTATTTATAACTTAATAAAATTAAGGTCATTGTGGCTGGTGGCTTTGGGTCCTGCCTACGCAAGGGTGGACTAGCCATTTAATTTACAGGGAAATTTCCCAGTGGGCTACTGCTAGGAAACTTTTTTATTGGGGGGAGCAAATGAGTATGGTGGTGGTCAGCCTATCATTATTTATTTACTTTATTTATAGACCAATTTTCTACTTGAGACTGAAAGTGGATTACGTGGTGTAGAACTAAGTAATCAAATGGAATGAGGGCTCTAATAAGCACTACAATAGGACTAGGTTTACAAAAAAATATCAGACATGCTATGTCAAGCAACGCAGAAAATGGGATTACAAAAAATGAAAGCAATGCTGTACGACCATGATAGAACATAAAACCAACAATATATAGCATACACTGTGGCACAGAGTCTAGGGGATGGGGGGGGGGGGTAGGGTTGCCAGACCCAGATTGGGAAACTCTTGGAGATCCTGAGGACAGGGACCTTAGTGGAGTACAGTGTCATAGAGTCCACACCCTCCAAAACATCCAGTTTCTCCAGGGGAGCTGTTTTCTGCAGTCTCGACATGAGCTGTAGGGATCCCCAGGTCCCCCCTGGAGGCTGGCATCCCTAGCCACAGACTATAGTTCTGTTGTCTATTACCTTTTTAAAAATGCCCTCCCTAACAACTGTTTTATATAGTTTGCAGAATTACAGAAGTATGGGAGCCTTTCTTCTAGTTATTAAATGTTCAATTAGTTTGTATAATTTAATTCAAGGTTTTGCGGTTGGGCAAAATTTTATCTTGCTATAATTTAAGCTCATATAAATAGACATACCTTTGTAATGCTTTTAGAAGTTATTTATTTTCCACACATTTTATAGGATTGTTTTACCCTAATGGCAACTCTTCAATATTTTATGCCAATAAAAGGTATTTATTTGTTTGTTTTGTTTTAGTTATTAAATCTTAAATACAGCCTTCTTTTCTCTGTAAATTTTCTGCAAGGGAAACAGAAAGCTCTGTCACTCAAAACAGTGTTTCAAACCAAGAATGCCTGTCATACCTTCTGTAGCTAAAACTGGTCAACATTCTTATTTTATTTTTGGGTAAAAAAGCTGAGGTTATGACTTTCTGTATCTAGGTCTGGAGGACAAATTTGTTCACTTCTTTAAAAATCCTTAGGCCCATTATGCATGGGTATCTTCCCTCCCTTTCAGTGCTCAGTTCGCTTTATGGTTGCTGTTTCCCCCAGTCTCTACTTTTGTTGTCTGCACTGTGTTGACATCTCATGTCTAATTGTGCCAATTTTCCCCTTGTTTTGCTTCCAAGCCGGAAGTAATTCAAAAGTATACAGATTCCCTCGGACTCCCTCCCCTGCCCTTTGCTGCCGACACTGAGGTTGTTCTGCCCACTCTGCACCTTCTGACCCTCCCCCCTTCATCGGTGTAGAGGCTCCGTTTTCCCCTCATTTTAAATTTTTTAATTTTTTTGACAAGCCACATGAGTCTAGCGATATGAGACTATCACTAGTCTCAGAAACGCTGAAATAAAAAAAATAAAACGACAGGTAAAAGGTAAAGGTTCCCTTGTTCGAAAGCCAGTCGAGTCCGACTCTAGGGTTGTGGTGCTCATCTCCATTTCAAAGCCGAAGAGCCAGCGCTGTCCGAAGACGTTTCCGTGGTCATGTGGCTGGCATGACTAAACACCAAGGCGCACGGAACGCTGTTACCTTCCCACCAAAGTGGTACCTATTTATCTACTTGCAATTTCTTGCTTTCGAACTGCAAGGTTGGCAGGAGCTGGAACTAGAGACGGGAGCTCACTCTGTCATGCGGCAACCCGGGTCTTGAACTACTGAACTACCGACCTTCCACAGCCTGCAGTTCAGCGTCTTAACCACTTGAGCCAAGGCAGCTCCTTAAAAAATGACAGGGGGGAAGCTTAAAAGGAGCTGTATGAGGTTTAATTCCCTCTGGGTATTGACTTGAAAGGGGGATCGGAGAGGAGACAAACGGCAGCATCCCCAGTGCAAAAAAAAAAGAAAGGATTTCAGTGCTGCATGCAAACAAAAGGGGGATCATCAGTGTGGAATGAAATTCACATGAGATGCAAAGAGAGAGAGACACTGGGATGGGAAGTCTAAAGTTTTGAAAACATTTTTCCCTTTAATGAACATAAGAACATAAGAGACGCCAATGTTGGATCAGGCCAAAGGCCCATCCAGTCCAACACTCTGTGTCACACAGTGGCCAGAAATACCAGTGCCATCAGGAGGTCCAGCAGTGGGGCCAG